ACCTGAGTTTTGCATTTTGAAACTTGATACCTGAAAATTGAATTGTGTCTTTTTAACCCCTTGACTTTTGAGCTCTTCCCAATATAAAAGTCATCTTAAACTTTTAGCCCCTATTTGGTTCGGATTAAAATTTGATTTTAATCTAAGTTAAAGTCAAACAATCAATATTAATCACATCTTTCATTGTTCTTACAACTTTTCCAACACACATTTCAAAAACTTATATCATAATCTACTAAAAATCTAATTTTAATCCCCACCAAACACAATTTTAATGTAACATAGCATATATATTTTGTCCCAAACAACTATAGATAGATAATTTATTTTATCTTAAACCCTTTAAACTAACATAGCATACATTTTTTTACAATATACCAATAACTATTACTACGCGTACAAGTTCCTCAAGATGGAAGCTGGAAAAATCATAACATATTGCAATGTGGAGATTATTCTTACTTATGACTGGCCCTAGTTGGGGCCAAAAAATTTCATGACTACATAGAGATCATTCCCATATAGAGTATCACTTAATAAGCACAAATTGTCACCAATTAGGAAATCCTTCGAAATTTTGTGAAATCATAATGCTTCATTCTAGCTTTATTTAATGCTCAAATTTTGTGTTCCAATTTTTAAATTATTTGGAGCAATGTTTTCAAAATTGACCCCGATCATTGATTCGGAAAAGTAAAATGGTCAAGAGTCAAAATGTCGAAGCGGGTTGAACCAAGGTTGAACTGGTTATATGTATGCATGTACACACACACTAGAAAAATAAGTTAATTTCCAAATAAAATAATATAGAGAGATAAAAATTGGCTAAATTTAATTTTCATTATGACCATTTCTAATATCAATAGAAAATGAGACAATAAATATAGAAAAGTCTTCAACAAATGATTCTCATATCATTTTAGTGTGACAAAAAAATAAAATTAAATAAGAAAATAGAGGTGAAATGGAAAAGAAATCAAATATTGAAATTCAAGAATTTTTTATACAATTTTCCAAATAAAAATAGCACATCGTTTTTAAAGTAATCCCAGCATAATAAAACTTAAAATGCGTGAACTGTTGAACTTGAGGGTGATCAGCAATCTCACATCGAAAAATGAGTAAACGGAAAGGATATAAAGCAACTATAAAAATGAATAGCAACTTGTTAAACAACAACTTGTTGGGCCTTATAAAGTTATTGGGCCAATGAAGTTTCAATTCTTTTTAATATAAGAGGAAATTACACAATTCAAGGTGTTTAAAATTTCAAATTCAAAAATTAGGGA